CCAGGGTCCTGGAACAGAGCCCTACATCGGGCTCTCTGCTCAGCAGAGCCTGCTTCTCCTTCTGCCTGCTGCTCCCACTGCTTGTGCCGTCTCTCTGTCAAATAAATAAATTAAATCTTAAAAAAAAAAAAGATGTATTTAGAGAGAGTGCAGGGAGAGGGGCAGAGTGATACAGAGAGAGAATCTCAAGCCGACTCCATGCCAAGCGTGGTGATCGCTGCAGAGCTCAATCTCACAACCCTGAGATCATGACCTGAGCTGACATCAATAATCGGACGCTTAACTAACTGAGCCACCCAGGTGCCCCTGCTCGGGTCCTTTTTGGTGTCATTCCATCTAGTCCCCCATTTCTCAGGCTAGTAAAGTAAGGCTCAGAGAGAGCTAGTGAGCCATCCACGGTTGCACAGCAAGTCAGTTGAAGACCAAGGTAGAACCTGGGCACCAACAGCTGGCCTGAAATTCTTTCTACTCTCAGGACAGAGAACAGGCTTGGGGGCTGCAGGCAGCATGGTCCTGGACAGTGAGGGTGGCGGTCATGTGAGGGAAGTACAGGGACGAGGGTCAGGTCTGTGCCCGAGATGTCAAGATGGAAGAGGAATCTGGAGGTGTCAGTATCATGCTCCTGCTCCATTAGCAGGGGCTCACTGCATCCCAGGCCCAACCCCTTGTAGGCCCTTCCATGCATAAAATAGGAGGCTGTAAAAGTTCAGGGCAGGGGCTGCGAATTTGGACAGAAAATGGAACTTTGGACCGAGGGGTGCCCTTGAACATCAGGCTCAAAGGTGAGGGCTTTCTCTTATCCCAGAGCCAGGAGGAGGTCCCAGCTAGGGATTTCTTAGGAACTTGGCTGGTATTAGCAGCCCTGGAGGTGGCTTGGAGAAATCGATCAATCCTAAGTAATGTCATTAGCCCTGGCAGGAAGGGGAGGTATCGGGGGGAGGCTGGGGAGAGTCTGGGCTCTGGGAGCATGTCTGACTGCTCAGTGACTGAACAGTTCTGTTAGCAGAACTTCCAGGCCCCCACAGGAATCCAGTCCGGAAGGTCCCCAGTGCCCCCTACCTCTTGTGGCTGGTCACTGGGGACATGGGCATAACTCAGGCCATTCCATGGGGAAGGCAAGCCTGTCAGCCATGTTTGCCCAGGGTGCCTGAGGAAGACTGAGGGATACTCGGGACTATGGGAAAGCTGGGAAGGCCTCTAACTAAAGCTGGAGCTCAGGGGAGGCTCCCTGGAGAAGGTTAACATCTGAGCTGAGACTCAAAGTGTGGGGAGGTGTTCATTAGCGGAAGGAACAGCGAGTTCTGGAAGGTGAAGCTAGGAGAGTCAGAGGCCAGATCCTGGCCATTTGCCTGTGAAAGAGCTCACTCTGGCCACAGGGCAGGCCTTAGACTGGTGGGGTGTGACCCCCATAGGAGCCAGAGGATTTCCTATCGAGGGGAGAGATGAGACCCGGGCCGGACCAGGGCTCATGAGAAGAGGGTAGGTATGAGGGTTGTTAGAAAAAGGTAGAGGTGGTAAGGAGGTCAGTGTGGCCTGTGCTGGGTCTGTAGGGCCTGGGGGACACCCCTAGAGGCAGCTAGGAGCCACTGGCTGTCCCAGTCAGGAGGGAACGATTGAGTGGACTTGGCCACACCTGGTAACTGAAGCCCCGGGAGTGGACGAAAAGGTCCCAGGAGAGCATGCAGAGGAGAGAGAAGAGACTTGCCTCCCCAGAATTCCCCTGCAGTGATGAACAGTGTGAAAACTCACGGGGCAGGGGCGCGGGGAGGGGAGGCGAGGCGATTCTCAGAGCCACGATCAGCTGAGCCCTGAGCTGAGGCCTAGTGTCTGCTTCCCTAACATGTAGTGGAATTTCCATTCCTGTGCCTTGTAAGGCTCAGTGTGTAGGGGCGGGGCAGGGGAGGGCCGAGGACATGTGGGAATCAGTTCTGGGCTCTGGGAGTCCAGGGAGAGGCGGGTGAGAACAGGAGAGCCTGGGTGTGGGCTCCTGTTCACGGAATGCCCACCTGCTGTACCTTGGTCCCTGCAGCCATTTGCCCTCCTGGCACTCTCCCCCTGTAATCTGGTCTCCTGTAGGAGTCCTGGCAAAGGCCATTAACCATTTTACAGATTGAGAAATCAAGGATCAGGGAAGAATCCCAGAGGCCCCAGCCACGGAGCAAAGGTGAGACAGATGTGATTGATCTAACCAGTAGAGGCCTCATCTTGGGGTAAGATTTGGCCTTCTACCCCCTCTGCAAGGCTGCAAATGCGGGAGTACATTTGTGAGCACACACTCCTTCCGGAGCTGAGAGCACCCCCATGGCCCCTCCCCTGTCCCCAACCCCATGGGACCTAAGTCCCCAGACTGCAGCCATACACCATCCATACTGCCCTTAAACGCCGGGCTGGGCTTGGCTCCCAGAGCCCCCAGCCTGCTGCACTGTGGTCCACAGGCCTCCCCGGGGAGCCACGGGCCCAGAGGCTATATCACACAATTCCCAGCAATTAGGAGGCTCCGAGTCAGTCAGTCGATATTCCCAGCAAAGCCCTAATGCATTCCCCACCCACTTTGCCAAACTGAGGCTGTAATCCCAGTGCTGAGGTGAGCATTTGGTGGGGGGTGGGGTGAGGGGATGAGGGTATGAGGGTAGGTAGAGGCCCTGAGTGAGGCCAAGGTGGAAGTAGTGGGTGGGCCTGAGGCCCAGCCTGCCCCTCTGGTGAGGCCCCTGGGGCACTTAGAGACAGGCCTCAGCCCCTGGCTGCCTCCTGGAAGCGTATCCTGATCCTGCAGGCACAATGCTAAATGCTGACAATCTGCCTTTCCTCTCTCCAGAATACCAGCTCATGAGCCGCTCTGGCTAGCCCGGAGGCTGCCAGGGTCAGCAGACTGCCCCCGTCAAGGGCTGGGCAGTAAGTTCTAGGCTTTGTGGGCCCTTCAGTCTCTGTCACAACCACTACCCTCTAGAGTTTCTGTTGCAGCAGCCATAGATGATATGTAAACGAACGATGTGGCGCAGCCAATAAAACTTTATTTATGGACACTGAAACTTGACTCTCCCATAATTTTCATGTGTCAAAGATATTCTTGTTTTGATTCTTTTTTTTTTTTTTTTGCCCCTGAACTATAGAAATAGAGAAAAGTCATTCTTAGATTGTAGGCTATACAAAAACAGTCGGCCTCTCAGATCTGGTGCCTGAGTTACACTTTGCCAACCCCCGGGTTAGAGCAAAGCCCCTGGAGCCAGACTGACAGGCTCTGCTGTGTGACCTTTGGCAAATGACTAAACCTCTCTGTGCTTCAGATTTCCCATCTGGAGAATGGCGGTGATAATGACGATATGTGGGGAATGTAAAGTGGTGCGCTGCTTTGCTGTTTTTATGAAAACGACTCTTGGCCATTCTTCAGAAGGTTAAACATGCAGTTGCCGTATGACCCAGCACTTCCGTTCCAAAGCGTGTGTGCGCAAGAGAGGAAAGCACACTCACACGGTAACTTGTTCATTAGCGGTGTTATTCCTGACAACTTGAAAGTGGTAACAGCCTAGAGGTCTCACAGCTGATGAATGGGTAAAATGGTCTGTCCATTCAACTGAGTGTCCTTTAGCCCCTGAGGAGGAAGGCAGCACTGACTCCTGCTACGACAGGGTGAGCCTCGAGAACCATTAAATGAACGAAGCCAGACACAAAGGGCTGCTACTGTATGACTGCAATGACAGGAGGAGTCCAGAAATGGCAAATCCATAGATGCAGAAAGTACATTAGTGGTCTGGGGGAAGAGGAGAGGGGCGACGGAGAGGGGGAGGAGTGGTGAATGCTAATGGGTCTGGCTGTTTTGCTGGGATGAGGAAGATGCTTTGGAATCGGTGGTGATGGTTGTATAACTTTGTGACTACACAAAAAACGGAATATGCTAAATACTGAATTGTACTCTTTAAAAGGGTGAATTTTTTGGCTTCTGAATTTGATCTTGATAAAAAGCTAATTCCTCCCAAGGTTGCTAGAAGAGTTAGTGCAAGTGAGAGGCTTTGTCTGTCCCTCACTGGCCCTGTGGGGCCCTGAGGGCATCAGTGTGCCTGTTGTGTTCACATTGTTCACATTGTCCCCAAGACCAAGGACAGGACCCCATACATACCATGTGGCTCCAGTCTCTGGAGTCCGACAGACCCGGGGTTGAGTCCTGGCTCCTTGGGAAAATCACTGGGCTTCTCTGAGCCCCAGGCCCTTCATCAGGGTGTGTGAGGCACCAGAGCCAGAGGCCATGTGGCCGAGGCTAGCCCCAAGTGGCAGAGCCCCCAGCAGGCATCTCCAGGGTGCCAAGCAGGGCCGGGCCAATTGCTGCTGGTGGCAGTGACTCAACCCACAAGACAACTCTCCTTGTTCCCGCAACCACGACAGGATTCCCTGAACCCAAAGCCGTGAGCACTGTGGACGAGAGCAGATTCTCAGACCGGCCCCAGCCCAGTACTGGCCTGCTTGCTGGGCACCGTCCCTTTCTCTCCCTGAGCCGCAGTTTGTCCAGTTATCCATCGGCTCCGGGACCCAACACCTACCACGGGAGGCATACCGGGGTCACCCTATGCCTGGCCTATTTTCAACCAAGTACATCGGAGGCCGTGACTGAGAAAATAAAGCTGAGGACAGCTGAGGGCCTTGGGAAGGGGTCGAGGTTTTATAGGAGGGGGCCTGGGAAAGCGTGGTTGAGGAAAGAACATTTGAGCAAAGACCTAAGGAGAGGAGGGGAAGGATGGCGCCCTGTGGAGCTCGAAGGGAAAGGCATTCTGGGCGCAGGAAGCAGCGACAGGTGTGGGGCAGGTGGGGCTGGGGGTATCTGGGTCTGGGGTGAGGGGCGGGAGACCAGCCCAGGGGCGCTGCCATTGTGCGGGCCTCGAGCTGTATAGGTCTCACGGCAGGGCCCTGGGCGGGGACTGGCACCTAACTGCATGGCAGCGAGTTGGGCTGTGTCTGGGGCCAAGACCCTGTGCCTCCCCTTCCTCACAGGCCTGTGCTTCCTCCCACAGGAGCCGCCAGGGGCCTCCATGGGCGCCTGAGGCCTGGGCGCCGGGGCGGCAGGCGAGAGTATGGTGAGACACCAGCCGCTCCAGTACTATGAGCCCCAGCTGTGCCTCTCCTGCCTCACGGGCATCTACGGCTGCCGCTGGAAGCGCTACCAGCGGTCCCATGATGACACCACGCCGGTGAGCCGCCCTGGGATGGGGCAGGGGACCTGGGGCACTGCAGTGCCTGAGGGAAGGCTCTCAGCTCCATCACTCTGCCATGGGGCTCCAGACAGGTCAATGCCCCCCGGGTTTCAATTTTTCCTTCTTTAAAACAGGCCCATGGTCATTTCAGAATCTACCTGACTAGGCAGGCAGGGAAGTAGGCCATCCTGTCCCAGATGGAGCCAGTGAACTCTCCCCTGACACCTGGGACCTGGGATGCTCCTGAGGTCTGGGCAGAAAGGGGCACACCTAGGAGGGACACTCTAAGAGGAAGGGCTCTCACCCCCACCTGCCCCTGCCAAGGTGAGCAGAAGTCTTCAGCTTCCTGGCAGCTAGGCAGGTGGGCAGGCGGGTGGCTGGAGGGGAGGGTGAGGAGGTAGGCTGGGCCATCCTGGAACCTGGGAGCTGGCAGGGCCATGGGCTGGCACCAGGGCATCGTCACCTGAGCCGCAGGCCTGTCCGAGCTGGCAGCCGGCACCCCAGTCCAGACCCTCAGCTGAGCTGACGCTTCTGTCCCTGGGGCACTGTTAGCCGCCGGATCTAGTTTCTTCCCTGAAGGAACCCAACTCCTTCAAGAGGGAAGGGAGGGAGATAAATGGTATTTATCTAAAAGATTTGCTGCCTGGAAAACAGCTCTCCTCCTCTCTCCTGCTTGTCTAAACAAAGAACCCAGGGTCCAAATTGAGCCAGCCTTGAAACAGGCTGGAGTGGCCAACGGTGTGGGTGACCCAGCTGAGGTCAGAGGCCAAGTATCACCGGCGGGGAGTGGGGGGGCTCTCTGGATTGGGGGAGCATGGGGAAGCTTGTCTACCTTCCTGCCCTCCTTCTCTGCCCATGCTGGGGACCAACAGAGCCCTGGCCTGAGTCAGGAGCCTGGGTTCACAGTCCCCAAGAGGTAAGAAACAAGTGCTACCTGGTGAGCACACGGTCTGACATTACCACGTCCCCACTCCCAGCCCAGAGAAGAGGACATGCCAAACAGAGGCAAGGGTCTGCTCCAGGCCACTGGGCAGTTCCCAGGGACAGGGGCCAGCAGCAGGTCCTCCCCGAGTTGGGAAAGGCAGGAGTTCAGTGGGCGACTGGCCCCAGGTGTCTGTGCCGGGTACAGTGCTGAGCTCTGACACAGCCCCTCTCGCTTCTCCCACCAAGCCCTGGAGCTAGATGTCATCGCCACCGTTGTGCACAGGGAAGCAGAAGCCAGGGATGCCAGTGAGGGGGCAGAGCTGTGATCTGGACCTGGGGCAGTGACGCTTAGGGAGGAGGACGGCTGAGCTCCCCAGCAGTGAGCAACTTGGCCATCGTCCTCATCAGAGTAGCTGCTGGAGGAAGGCAGAGCCCCCAGGACATCTCACAGCCCTCTGTGGGCCCAGGGCAGGCCTATCCCAGGCTTCAGAGTCAGGAAGTGATAGGGCCTTGCTGCGGCCAGCACGGGGCCCAGGGTGGAGGAAGTGGTTGGCTGAGGCCGGTTTTGAGCTGACTGGAAGCCCAAGCGGGGCTGTGTCTGCAAATGCCAGCATCTGGGGTGCCAGGGATGGAGCAAGGGTGGGAGGGGCTACGGGAGGCCCCAGGCCAGCTTGGCTGCGAGGGGGTTTTGTGGCAGCTCTGGGTGTTAGGGCCTCTACAGACTGGGGTGAGCTCCCCTCAGGCGACCCACCGAAGCTCCCAGCTGAGATGAGCCTCCTCCTCCTTCCCTGTCACCCACCTCATTCCGCTTCCCCGCCCACTTCCTGGGTTCAGCTTCAGCCTGCTCATCCTTTTTTCTCTCTCTCTCTCTCCCCCCATCCTCTTTCTTCCCAGTCCCTCCTTAGATGCCCGGGTGGAGACCATGATGGGCGCTGGGCTCTCTGGCCCGACACAGAGAGGGGAATAGTGACCCGGTGTTTCAGAGTCAGGGCTGGGGCTGAGCAGGTGTTCCGTAAGCTTTGCTGAACCGACAGGCCCGGGAGTAAGCTCTGGGGGCACAGGCTGGGTGTGAAGGGGCATTGCCAAGGCAGTGGTGGAAAGGCCCCCAAAAGGGGCAGGGGCTCCACCTTTGCTTATGCCTCTTCTCATCCCCACCTTCCCTTGGTGAAGACCTTGGGGACCCCTCTCCTCCCCCTGCCCAGGCACTGCCTCCCCTCAAGTCCTCTTGAGGGAGCCTCCCTAGCACCTCCCAACTCAGACAAGCCCTGAATCAATTTCTTCTGTGAAGCCAGACCTCTCTGATCCCCATCTGTGAAATGGGGCGACAGACTGGTGGTGAGTCACAGGAGCCTTTCATCATGGCCCTGCTCAGGCTGGGAAATAAAGCCCAAGAGTAACGGTTAACATTTATTGAGTACCTATTGTATGCAGGGGGCAAGAGCTTACATGAGTTGCCCTGTTAGGTCTGCTGTGGGGTGGGTTTTACTGTGATGCTGATGGAGAATTTGAGGCTTCAAGCCAAGTCACACTTGGAGTCCAGGATAGATTTATGAGAGGAACCACAGGAAGATGAAGGCTGGAGGGGAGGACATGCAGGTTTTGCGTATGTGATTAAGTGAGAACTTGCCAGAAGGGGAAGAAAGGAGGGGCAGGAGGAGGATTTGGGAAGTTGCCAGAGGGAGGAAGAGCATGGGACCAGGAGCCCTACAAGTGGGGCAAGAGGGGACGTGGCTTGAATGCCAGACTGGGAGCCCTCCAAGGTTCTGGGATGAACAGGGGCCCCGCCCTACTGGAATGGATCCTGGGGGCTGCCTCCTTCCTGTCCCCCCAGCCTGATGCAGTCCCACCTCCCCCGAGCCTTTGCTCTCACTGTCCCCCAGGCCCAGGACACACACTGGACATGTAAGGGAATGGGAAACTGAGGACCCAACGGGAGAGGTGAAATGCCCTCTTCTGCCCCCAGCCCCTAGGGAGCGGAGGAGCCGGCAGCAGGAGGCTGGCTCACTCGACAGCTAGGAAGGGGAAGTGAAGCTTTTTATAACTGGAGATAATTAATTGGTTGTTGTCTGTGACTCATTACTCTAATACTGCCAATTAAGGACCTGGTAGGACAGAAGACAGTTCTCAGGCTGTCCCCCAGGGCTCCGTGAAGACTGCATGTCTGGGGGAGACAGCACAGTGTCCAAACCAGCTTCTCATGTAGCGAGGGGCATTCAGGTCAATCACCTGGGGAAGCTTCCCAGCTCAAGATGAGGAAGGAGACGGACATCAGCTGTCATCTCTCTTGTATTTCTGTGTGCATTTGCCTTTCAAAGGCTGTTTTAAGCTCGTTTGGCCCCTCTGTCTGCCAGAGAGGGCTCCAGGAAGAATAAGTGATCTGTTCAAGCCACAGGGTTGGAGGCCAGGCATGCGCAGCCCTCTGCTTGCCTCCCCAGGCCTGTGCCCCCACACCTTGGGCTCCATACCAGCAATCTTGTCTGGGACGCACCAATTCCAATTCCTATTTCCTCAACAAGAACCAACACAGCCAGGCCACCCAGAGTGCTCACTGCTGAGGCCCAAGAAAACCCCAGACAGGAGAGCTGGCCTGAGCTGCTGTCTGAGAGTTAGTCCTGTCTAGCCGGATGGGGAAGTGTTCGAGGCACGGGGTGCTGTGGGTGCCAGAGCTTCTTGTGCTTGGGAACTGAGAGCAATCTGGCCTCTGTGTGGCTCTGTGTGAGGAGGGAGGTCGTTGCTAAGCGCTAGGCGGTGGCAGCCTGAGGCTGTGCTAGGGAGCCTGCTTCCCATCCCGGGCAGAGGGAGCACAGCCAGATTCAGGCTGGGTGAGGACCAGTCTGGTTCTGTTGTGGAGAGTGCGTGGAGACGCTGGAGGGGAGGTGGGGGAGCAGGGAGCCAGATAGCAGGGCTGAGGCCTCACCTGGGGGAGGCATATGTAGGCTCCTGCAAAGGGAGGGACTCTAGAGACGCTTGGAAGGTGTAATCAAAAAGCTATCTGTGGAAGAGATTGAGGGAGTCCTGTATGATGCCTCCCATCACCTGATTTCTAGTCTAGCCGGGTGAGGCTATTCCAGAGACCAGAGATGGAAATGGGAAAGCATGCTGTTTCCTGGGGGCGGGTGGGGGGTGGAGAGAGGGAGAGTGGTCCCCACAGAGTCCAGGAAGAGCGCAGTGGGGGTGGGACACAACAAAGTCTCCCCACCCCCAGTAGCCTAGCTCCTATGACCAGAGCCCATGCAGCCACACAGGAAGACCCCTGCTGGGGGAAGTCCATCATTTCCCCCCCCATACCCAACCCCTCCCAGGATGGCCTCTCCTCTTCATAGCACTGGGCCTGTACTCAGGCTGCCCTGTCGCTTGCAATGCCCCTTCTCTCTTTACCTTGCGAGGCTCGTGGCAAATGCTTACTCCTCTAAGAGTTATTCCCTTAAACATAAAAAGAACCAGGCCCGCTTCCCTGGGCTCCCGTAGCACCTCCGGCCTGGGCTGCCCCCATGGAATGTGACTTTCTGTGTGTCCTAAGGGACTCAGTGTTGTGGGAGCAGGGCCCAGGTCTTGGGGCAGGGCCAGCAGGATGACAGAGCTGGGGAATGGAAGAGTAGTGAGGAAGCCAGTTAGGGACCAAGCCTGCCATCCTGCTGACTACACCCAGGACAAGGCCTCCTATGAGCTCTTGGGGATTGGGTGGTCTGGGAGGGGGCGAGCATACACTTGTAGACAGGTGCATACTGCCTTCTGGCACTCCTGGCTGTTGTTGGCAGATGAGGGTGTGGGTTTCGCCACGGGACCTCCCAGGCCACCCTGGGAGCAGAGACTGGACCCTGCCGGCAGTGTGCAAGAGACCCAGGGGTGGAGACTTCCCCAGCTGGGTCCCCACCTCACTGTCCTAGCCCCACCAGGTGGGCTTCCAGGGGAGAGTGTGTCCCACTCGGGAATCAAGGGCTCCCTGGATAAAGCCGCCTTTGCCATAGGCTCCACGGTGTCACTGCAGTTGGCTGAAAGTGCTTGGGCATCCCTGGCCAGGGACCTGTGGCCTAACTCCACCCTGCCTCCATCAGCGACTTAGTGTGGGACTC